CTAGTTTATTTAATAATTAAAACATGTAATGCAAATTGTTTTAAAATAAGTACCTCGTTTATATTATGATTTACTTAGTTTTTCATATATTACATGATGTGATTATGATACAATTGTTTTTATTAATCTCTCTTACGTTATACTATTGAAATATATATCATTTTAATTATTATGATAATAATAATAATAATGCAAGTTGTATATACGTAATATTATAAAGTCTTATATCACTTAATTCAAAAAAAAAATAAAAAAAAATGAGTGTCTTATATCACTCCTCCAAAACTCGGAGCAAATTAACATAGCATCCAAAGCCACATGTGTGTAACCAACTATATATATTCCCACCGGGTAAATGGCTAATACTAACGAGAACGAGCGATTGGCAACCATCTTTGTGAGATAACATGAAAATATTCGTAAAGTGATGATTCTTCTTTCTTTCTTTTTTCTGCCACTGAGTATAATTTTCTGGCGGGCTAACATATATGGAGAAGATCTACAAAGAGATTATTCTTTTTGTTTAAAAGATTAAAAGAAGAAGAAGAAGTAAAAGCAGTAATTCCTTTTTTTACCCTTTCTTCTAGGCTTTTGTTAAAAGTTAAAACTACTGTTACTGGAATGGCATCGAACAAAATTTAGTTATCCGTAGTTGTAATAAAATTTAGAAATGTACGTTAATTGAAATACTTATGAATTATTTGTGTTCGACAACAAACGTGCCTCACATATATATTTAGGAGCCTCAAATATCAAACCAAAATTTCCAATTAAGCATATTAGAATTATGGAGATTGATAATAAAAATATCATGCTTTACTTTTAATTTAGGTTTTGTAAAATTTCTATTTAATAGTGTGACGCGATATTGATTTTACATTGCAGCAGGGCCACTAAGGAAATTTATCAAACACAGGAAATGGAAGAAAAAAAGAAGACGACACTAAACATATATGGCAACCGACCCGTATGAGAAGCACCCTTTTATATACTTACAATCAAAAAAATTTATCATCTTTACAACTAACTTAATTACTGTTGATTTCTGTCAATCTAATGATTATCATTTATTGGAAATTAATAATTAATTAATAAATGCGACCTAATAATTTTCAACAAATGATAACTGTTAGATTGACGGAAATCAACGGTGGTTAGGTTGGTTGTAAAGGTGATAAACTTTTTTAGTTGTAAGTATATCCTTCTCCGTATCAAAATTATAATAATTAAATTAAAATAGTTGATCAATTTTCCATTGATATGTTATAATCTTTTTAAAATCGAAGCAACGAATTGTATAACATTAATTATATGATTTGTCATCTTTAAATGCTATATGTTTCGTAAGGATATAAATATATTTATATCATTTTAGACCGCAATTCCAGATAATTTTATTTTTTAATTTTAAAGTCTGAAAGTCAATATTAGAGGTTCAAAACTAGCTGCGTATGCTAGTGAGAATGGCGAAATTAAGAGAGAGAAACTATTATATAGGTTTATTCACATTAAAATGAACTAAAATATAGCACATATTGATATCTTAGGAGGAGTGAATTTTTTTAACTGAGAGAATGACCATGTAATGGTTAGAGATACCAATATAAAATTATTAACGTGGTCATTATTTATTAGTTTAAATTTTTGGATTAAATTAATTCTTTACATGTATTAGAAAGTGATCACAAGTTCAAATCACATTGTTTCCATTTTTTAATAAAATTTAAAAAGGTTAAAATTAGCACAAAATCAATAAAAAAATGGATCAATACATTATGCACCCTTCAAATTCAGAGACTCTTATATAAGAAGATGTGTGAGAGATATTAATATAAAACCATTGATATGCTCATAACTTACCACATAAGTTGTGGCATTTTTTTTTTGTTTCACCTAATGATAATGTTGGTTTTTAATTTTATTAGAAATTAGGGGTAGTAAAATTAGAAGGAATTTAACCCAAAAACTTAAGTGGTAATCATACTAATAATTTTATATTAATATCTCAAGGCACACCCCTCACGCAATAGGCTTTGAGTTTGAAGTGTGGATAATGTACGCATCCATTTTTTTTAATTCACCTTGTGTTAATTTTATTTTACATTTTAATTTTATTAGAAATTGCGGCAGTCAGATTGTGAGAGTCAAACTTCACTACTAGAAATGTCTTTATTATCGACAGAATTTTTCGACGGAAAAAATTTCGTTGAAAATATTGACGGAATTTTTCACGGAATCTGTTCTTCGTCAATAATTTCGACGGAAAAAAGATTCCGTCGAAAGTTTTCGACAGAAAAAGAAATCCCGTCGAAATTTTTTGAAAAAAATAAAAGAAAAAGAAATTATATTTTGTGGACATTTCGACGAAATTTCGATTCCGTCAAAGGTTTTCGACGAAAAAAGAATTTCGTCGAAAACATTTGAAAAAAATAAAAGAAAAAGAAATTAAATATTGTGGACTTTTCAAAGGAATTTCGATTCCGTCGAAGGTTTTCGACGAAAAAGGAATTTCGTCGAAAACTTTTGAAAAAAATAAAAGAAAAAGAAATTAAATATTGTGGACTTTTCGACGAAATTTCGATTTCGTCGAAGGTTTTCGACGGAAAAGAAATTCTGTCGAAAACTTTTGAAAAAATAAAAGAAAAAAAAAATAGTGTGGACTTTTCGACGGAATCGAAATTCCGTCGAAAACTTTTGAAAAAAATAAAAGTAAAAAGATTAAATATTGTGGACTTTTCGACGAAATTTCAATTCCGTCGAAGGTTTTTGCCGAAAAAAAATTTCGTCGAAAATCTTTAAAAAAATAAATGAAAAAGAAAATATATTTGTGTCTTTTCGACGGTTAGCAAAATGAAACCTATCGAACTAATGACATGCATTAATGGTTTTGAAATTCAAATCCATCTGTTTGTGTAATTTTTTTTAGAAAGTCAAAAATTCAAAATTCAAAATTATTAGTACATAGGTGTCTTATAGACACTCTGAGAGTCAGATGGACCCATTTAGATATAACATTAACAGATTGATCATTCGATGATGCTCCTGATGAAGAAAATGGTTAGAGATAGAGAAAAGGACCAAGGGTTCAAGTCAATGAGAGCCTTGATTAGGGAGAAATCTTTCAAGTTCACCCATTTAAAATCAATATCAATGTGTATGAAGAAGAGACTTTTGATTCTAAGTTTATAAAACTTATCACTCTTAGGTTTGAGTACAATATATATTTATTGTACACCGCTCTCTAATTGTTGTATAAGCCTTTTGTAATACTTAGCTTAATATATAATATTGACTTTTATGCATTTAATGTATTAATTAAAGAGATTTGATTTTGATATATTGTTTACTTTGATTATATTTTTTTATCAGGTGTAGTACAAAAAATTGGTATTAATTTTATTGTAGAATTTTTTTTTTAAAAAAAAATCTCTAAAATTTTTCGACGGAAATAATTTCTGTCAAAAAATTTTACATCAGTTTTTGACGGAAATTCATTAATTTTTCGTTGAAAATTTTTGACGGAATCCATTTTTCGTCGAAAATCATCCTAACAAATTTCGACGGAATTCCATTGATTTTTCGTTGCAAATTTTTGACGGAATTTGTTTTCCATCGAAAAAATTTTACATCAGTTTTCGACGGAATTTCATTGATTTTTCGTCAAAAATTTTTAACGGAATATGTTTTATGTCGAAATCCACCACAACAATTTTCGACGAAATTCCATTGATTTTTCGTCAAAAATTTTCCACGGAAATAAATTTCGTCGAAAACTTTTCACGGATATAAATTCCGTCAAAAAATTTCACGAAAATAAATTTCGTCAAAAATTTTCGACAGAATCTTTAATCCCGTTGAAAAATGGGTTATCAACGAAGAAAATTTCGACAACTTGAATTTCGTCAAAAAAATGGGTTATACCATTTTTGACGAAATTTTTCCGTCGAAAAAATAAACTTTTTTAGTAGTGTTTGTAATTAAGTGGTGACAAGCTATGATATGATGCAACACAACAAATTCAACTCAATAACTTAAACATAAAGAGATATGTAACGAACTTGCTAATAATTTTATATTGATATCTCGAAAATTACAATAATTAAGCATCTAAGTATAATTTACTCTTTGAAATATTGTTTTTGATGATATATGCAAAAATACGTGAGTCATGTTAAAAATACACCAATTTCTAAAAAAATACCGTATAAGTTACTATTAACTGTTAAATAGGCAATATCTTCTTAAGAATATTTTCCATACAATATTCATGATGTACACATATTCACAATTACATGGACCTATGATAAATTTTACATTAGATTCACAAAGAATTGTAAGTGTATATATATTTATCACGAGCCGTATTGCAATATATAACCACACTAAAGTTTTGTTACATCATTTATAAACGAGCTACTTGAGGTATAGCCTCACTAAATCAAGTTTTGACCGAGAGGGAAAGGCAAATTATCATAGTATCGACAAGATTGGTTTTTTCCATCCAGCATTGTCCCCATCAATCTTCATCCCAAATCATCTTCAATATTAACGATCCAGTATATGTATCCATTGATATTCCCAGGCGATGATATATATTTTATTTCAATGCACAAGCAGCTTCTTGATGATCACTACCATCAATAAATAATCTCATGGTTAATTAGCTGTCACTTTCTAAATAACCAATCAAATAGTAGTCAAATTTCAAACATCTCCGTTAATTAAGAATATTCGTTTCATTTGATCAGTGCAATGGGAAATCCCTTATAACTATCAGCAATCCCAAATTTCTCGGTGATAACCCCTAGACTTAGGATTCAACGTCCATTCTTTAATTATCAATTTATCACGAAACTTCTTTTGAAGCCGCTGGCCCACCCAAACTTCTATCAATGAGTTATTATTATATATAGAAGAGAGCATCAACAGCAGCAAAACCTGTAAGTAACAGAAAGTAGCATTAATTAATTAGGTACAAAAAAAAAAACCTTCCATAAAAAATGGGGTTAGCGGTGCTTGATGCCCTTGATTCATCTCGTACACAATGGTACCACATCAAAGCCATTGTGATAGCTGGCATGGGTTTCTTCACCGATGCTTACGACCTCTTTTGCATAACCACAGTTTCAAAACTCTTAGGTCGATTGTATTACTTCGACCCAAGTACAGGCAAACCCGGAAAGCTTCCCGTTCCTGTTAACAACGCTGTGACTGGAGTTGCTCTCATCGGAACCCTAGCAGGCCAATTAGTCTTTGGTTGGCTCGGAGACAAACTTGGCCGCAAGAAAGTCTATGGAATCACGCTTGTTATCATGTTCGTTTGTGCTATATGTTCAGGCCTATCATTTGGTTTAACACCCAAGTCAGTGATTGGAACACTATGTTTCTTCAGATTCTGGCTTGGTTTTGGCATTGGTGGAGATTACCCTCTCTCTGCTACAATCATGTCTGAATATGCTAATAAAAGGACACGTGGAGCTTTCATCGCTGCTGTGTTTGCTATGCAGGGTGTGGGAATCATCTTCGCAGGGTTGGTTTCCATGTTGTTCTCGAAAATTTTCTTATACTATTGCCATGCTCCGAGCTACACCATTGACATGGCGAAGTCGACACAACCAGAGAGTGACATGTTATGGCGAATAGTGCTCATGATCGGAGCTATCCCGGCGGCGATGACATTCTACTGGCGAATGAAGATGCCGGAGACAGGTCGTTACACGGCTTTAATAGAAGGGAATGCAAAGCAAGCAGCTGCGGATATGGCTAGGGTTTTGGACATTGAAATCCTCGCTGAGCAAGAGAAATTGTCTCAGTTTAAAGATTCTAATGAATATTCGTTGTGGTCTAATGAGTTCTATCAGCGACATGGGAGACATTTAATTGGCACGATGAGCACGTGGTTTTTGTTAGACATAGCTTTCTATAGCCAGAATCTTACACAGAAGGATATTTTCCCTGCGATTGGACTCATATCAAAGGATGTGAATATGAATGCTGTGGAAGAAGTTTATCAGACGTCACGTGCCATGTTCGTGATTGCGTTGGCTGGAACTTTCCCTGGTTACTGGTTCACCGTTCTCTTCATTGAAAAGCTTGGCCGTTTCAAGATTCAGCTCATGGGGTTCTTCATGATGTCTATCTTCATGTTCATGATTGGGATAAAATATGATTACCTCAGAGATCAAAACAGAACCCTCTTTGTTTTGTTGTATGGGTTAACGTTCTTTTTTGCTAACTTTGGACCTAATAGCACTACCTTTGTGCTGCCGGCGGAGCTGTTCCCGACGAGGCTGAGGTCCACGTGTCATGCTTTCAGCGCGGCAGCTGGGAAAGCCGGTGCCATGGTTGGGGCGTTTGGGATTCAGAACTACACGTTGAGCGATGAATCGAAGCAAATACGAAGGGCGATGATGATTCTGGCGGTGACCAACATGTTGGGGTTCTTCTGCACGTTTTTGGTTACTGAAACGAAGGGACGGTCGTTGGAAGAAATCTCCGGCGAGGTCGGCAGAGAGAGTGAACTCACTCCTTCTACAAATGATAGGGTTTCGGTGACTCGACATGGAACCCACGCGGAGACAATGTGAACTGAAGGGTGATCGAGATATCACATGATAATTCAGTTATTAATGCACGTATGCAGGAGTTCAATATAAAGTTTGTGACAATCTTGGTATTATATATGAGTGTGATCACAGGTGTATTACAAACATGTGTAATAATGGGATTTAAGATAAAGATGTCCCTCTACTCATACGAGTATAGATTACTAGTGTGAGATCGTTGTTAAGACACGAGAACTTGGCATGAAGTGAGGTTAAAAAAAAACACTTTTTCTTGTATAATTATTTGATTTTGTGAATTTATCCTTTTAATAGCTTTATATAATATTTTTTATCGGTAAGACATAATTATAATATAAAAAGTTATTTTTTTCTCTTTCTTCAATCACATCAGCTTGAAAAAAAAAAAAAAATTATAACTATGTCTTATGGGTAAGACATAATATAAAGCTATGACACAAGTTGTGTCTCTTAAAATGACAAATGTTAAATCCTTTATTATTTGGTTATTTTTCTCATAATGAAGCTAGATGGTTTTATTTATGTTTTTTTTAATATATGGAAAACATGTACTGTAATATAAAATTTAATTTCATAATGTAAATGTTTAGTTTACCATATCCAGCAAATTATACGCAAATTCTTTTTTACCTTATCCATTGTAGGCTGGTTGATCAAAGTAATTTAGTTTCAAAATATTATTAAAATAATATAGTTTAAAAATTATTTATTAAAGCAATATAATTAAATGTTTACAAACAAAAAAAAAGCAATATAATTAAATCACTCATGTGATTCGTGGTATGGCACATGTTATGTTCGAACCCGAATAGTTAAGTAATTAAACTATATCACTTTGATAAATAATAATTTTTAATAAATTTTTAAATTATATATTTAATATAAGTTTGAAAATTATATTATCTTAATAATTTTTAAAAACAAAAACAAAATCACTATAATCAATCAGGTCAACATGATTAAGAATATGAATATAAGACTGCATTAAGATGTATTTTGATTAATGGAACGTAACATGATGGCTAGGAATGGGCCGGAACGGAGCATAATGGCCTCGTTGTTTTTGGGCCAGTACAATACAAATGCAGAACTCCTATCACAAGGAAAAATGATTTGAGGGATGCTTTTTTAAAAGCGGAACTAGAAGATGCAAGATGTAAGCAATGAAGCTGTTATATCAGTCCTCCGCAAATGGGCCAATTGTGAACCTCGATACCTTAACCTTAGAGTACAGATGTTGACTTCTCAATTTAAATGACCTAGCATTATCCATCAATTGGGATAAGTTATCCAGCCTCATATTCTGTCTGTGTTTGGTAGAATTTTTTTTTTTTGATATTTAAAACAATATTGAGGATGGATTTTTAAGAAAAATATATTTGGTATCACATTTTAAAATTTTTACCTGATTTACTTAAAAATCTGTTTTGTGTGTAAATCGTGAATGAAAGATATTCTTGGATTGTTGGGAAAATAGAAAAAAGTAGATGAAAAATTTGCCAAGAATTAGAAAATTTATCAAATACTTCTGGTATTATTATTTTTTTCTATCAAACAGTTTTTTAGTAACATTTTCGGAAAATTAATTTTTCCATCATATTCTAAAAAATCATGATTTTTGGATAAATATTTTTTTTCCCTCTACCAAAGGGTAGAAAATTTCTCATGGAAATCTCACATGAATGAGTTCGCCGAGTTTTGTTATCAGTACTTTATGCATAGCTTAAAAAATTTCAATTACTTCTTTTATGTACTATGGAGAAATTTTTATGCACTACCCTTGACATATTAAAAACATATATATGTTATCAAAAAAAAAAAACAAACATATATAACAAGGGAACAGCATTAATTATATGTACCAACAGGTTAAATTTAAAATCAATTTTAACGGTTAAGATTAATACTTTAGAAATCAATGAGATTTGGTTCACAAGATCAATTTAGTACTCATAACAACTGCCCGAATTAAAATAAGAATTGAAAAAATAGGTTAATAGATAATTTCTGTAGGAAATCTTAGATTTATGCGGAAGCGGTTTAGGACCTAGTATATTGGTATGCTTACCGAATCATCCTTGTTTCACAATTACCTCTCGGTGCGCAGGTCTCGTGTAGAATCTTCCCTTGTAGGATTCCTCTTCATGAACAGCTCACCTCAGCGCCGCAACACGAACAACCTCCTTGTAGCTGGACTGTGGCAGATCTTCTAAACTATCTCTTGAGGAGGAAGGGGAAGTGTGTGGGCACTGATTAGATTCAGAGCTTGCCTCTTTCTCACAAAAAAGACCTAGGAGGCTGATGACTTAAGATGTACTATTTATATGGGTTCCAAGAAACCCTAGCTCATTGGGCTCTAAGTTCCTTGGGCTCTTCTCATACTAATAACTCATTTGGGCTTTAGTAAAAGAGCAAACCCAACAATTTCTAATTTTATTGCAAACCTAAAGTTGATAGCTTCTCATAATTTAGAATGATAAAAGTCTCTTTTTTTTTCTCAAACCTTTTCTAATTAATGAAAAATACCCTCAAATATTTATGAAAATTTTCATACTCTGTGAAGCTTTTGGAAGCATATTTACGAGTACATCTATCAGTTCTCGTGTTAGCTGTTTATCCATCGACCAAACGCTAACAACAAGAGCTAATTGAGTCAATACGCGATTAGAATACATGTTGTCAACCACGCAATAACTTGATGAAAGGAATGGCGGAAAGTTATCGACTTTCCCTTTTTTCTTTTCGTTTGCAACTTTTTGACTCTGCCGTTTTAATTATTCAGATTAAGATGCAAAAGGCAAAAGAACCAAGTAAAGAAATGGGAACACATAATTAGCTTCATGATATACACACCTACGTCTAAACATTTCTTTTCATTTCCCATTGGATATGAATGATTAGAACATGCATGTATGAAATTCTTTTAACTGAACCAGTATGAAGGTACAATAGACATTAGACAACAACAAACATTCCTCCTTGGTCGAACCTTTTCTGAACATTCTCTCTCTTTTCTTTTCTTCTTTTAATTTGCTATTAACTTTTATTTGTCTTCTACTCCTTTTATGATCTCGAAAGTGGAAGTTTTTATTTTTTATTTTCGCGTAGCACACAAATAAATAAAAGTAAAACTTCATCAGTGTAAACATGAAAATCATGTTTGTGCTGATAACGTGCGATCGTAGATTCTCTTGGGATAGGTCAACTTGGAAAATTTAAACAATTATGTTTTTTACACTCAATTTTGATAAACCATTTTTTGTAACGATTATATCATTTGATAATTAATTAAATTTTTTTATTACGTATAAAATACGTTGTTTATCAATTATTTTTTGTTGCTCTCCGATATAAAAAAATGATGTACAAAATATATTATAATGAATTTTACTGTAGTTGTCTTAAGAGGAAATACCAAATCTTATACATAATAGTAACATATTTTATTGTGTTTGATTAACATATTATTAGAATGTCCCGGTGACAAGTACTTAAAATTTACTCTAAAATATATCATGGGAGTTGCTAGACTGACTTTATATATATATATATATATATATATATATATATATATATATATATATATATATATATATATATAATTATTTTGAAATCTAGCTTTAAATTTTATTTTATCTTTTTGGTAAAAAGCTTTAAAAATTTAAATCAAGTTTGAGTTTGATTATATATAGAGAATGGTGAATATTTAATCTTTAATATATTTATATAAAGTGATTACTTCAAAGTTGATTGTACATATTATCAGTAAAATTAAAAAAATATTTTATCCTTAAAAATAAGAAAATAAAATGGATTAAAAAATTATTTACAAGATTTTAAATTGTGAAATATTTAGTTTAGTTTAACAGAAAACTCCCGCTGCAATATATGTATGTCCTAGTGTAATTAAAAAATTATTAAAATTACTTCATTCTTTAAAAAATATTTGAAATTGGTTGATTTTAATTTTGAATATATTTTTTAAAAGCATAATTTTATTGTTGAAAATTCATTTGATATTACATGATTAATAAATTGTCCTAACTCATCTAATCTTTTTGTTTAAAATAAATTAGTTTTTCAAACTTTTTTTTTTACAGTAATTAAAATCATAATTGAAGATAATAATACCAATCGTAAAAAAAAAAAAGTTTATATTTCTAAGTTGTTGATGCAAAAATGGCCCAAAATAAAAGCTACATAATATTATGTATTTTAAAATATTTAATAATAAAATAGAGATTATTTTTTGAAATTTTTAACAAAATTAAATAAAACTTTTATCAGTTTATTATTTAAATATTGTGCTATCTTAAATATATGAAACCTTACGATTAAAAAATATAAAATTGAAAAGTTGCTTCCCCTTTTCTTTAATTTATACTCTGTTTGTTTTAACAGCGTTTAGGGAGGACAAAATATATCATGACCCATAGATCGACTCCTGACAAACCCGCAATTTATTTTTTCAAAAAAATTGAAATTTTTATGATTTTCAGATACCTTATTGTGTTTATTCAGTTTTTTATTTTTATTTTTATTTTTATTTTTTAAAGTATCAATTTTTAATATTTTTTATAGTTTAACCGTGTCACATTCTACCCTTGACGAGTTGTGTTCGAATTTTAAATTTTGACATGTGAGCAAATACATATTATAGACCCGTGAATCAAACTTGTCGACACGTTTTATCAGCCCTAACTACGTCCAGCCCTTTTGTAATCTTTGAGAAAAATGTCGAAAAGGAAAGCGAATATTTTTTTCCTTTGCAACAGAAATCACTATTCCACGTGTTAGCTGATCAGTGTGCTGACTCACCCTCATCATTGCCACGTAAACATCACCGGCAAGATGAGATTGGGCGTACTGGAACGCCATATGCATTTCACGTGCCACCCCCTCCGTCTTGTCTCGTTATTCCTGATTCCATTAGATTCTAAATATTCAAACTTAAATTATTTTAATGAAAAATAAAGAAATTTTTGATTTTTTTCTGAAACAAA